ATATTACGGTCAAATATGTAGTAACAATACAAAATTTAACATAACACATGTATAATTAAGTGATGGAACAATTAATATCTATAACTAATTTTTGAATATTCATATGTAAAGGGATTAAAAGTACATCTCAATTAATTTAAAATTAGAGGTACATAATCAAATATTTTAAGGACTAAAATCAAAATTTATACATAAACTAATAACCAAAAATACTATAAAACCTAAGAAAATTTATAAGCAACTCTTTTTTTTTCTTCTTTTTAAAAAAAATAATAATTTAGTAAAATATTGTAGTCTTTTCTAGAATAAATAAATGTTTTTTTAATTTCCAAGATTAAATATAAATTTGACCCACTTGGTGGATTTGTTGGAAAAGGAAAAGGAGTTAGACCAATTGTAAGGAAAGCAATCCCTTGAAGCAATAGTAAATAGTCAAAAGAATTTTTATTTTCAAACACTTTTTCTCCTACAAGCATGCAATAGAGAATGTTCATTTTCATGACCAAATCAAAGGAATTTTAGCACAACTAGCAAGTTAAAAGATAAAACGTGTTAATCAGAGGTTTCAGATTTAAATTTTAAGTATAAAGCTATTTTTATTAGGAAGCGTTTTTTTTAAGGTGAAATTTCATTGTATAATTTCAAATTTGATTGGCTTCAAACAAATATTGAATATCAGATGAAGAACAAAACAGAACGAAAATAAAAAGTGATGAATCAAAAGAGGATGATTAGAATGACTGCAAAGCAAAATTAGAAAAATGGTAATGACATATTAAACTAAATATGGACAAAACAACCAAGGCCTGAATTTTTAATTGAATTGAACTTAATTATAGATGGCATCTTTTTTGCTTCATTGCTCTCTTAGATTCAATTATTCCTTTCTTACTTTTATTCCATAACAATTTTATATCTTTAACTTTTTCAAACAAAATTTCTTGACCTTCATAAGAAAAAACAATTTCAACTAAATGATCTTGTTATTTGAGTAATGCAAAAAAAATTGTTTAAAATAAGTTGGTCTTGAAACATCAACAAAGTCAAAAAAAAAAAATGCAAGATGATTTTTCCTTTTATTTATTTTAACATTAATAAGAAGGCTTATTCATTAATATAACAATGAAAAGTAGCATATACATAATAAAATAGTGAAAATTATTGTAATTTGGCTCCAACACCACTATTATGACAATAATAGAGAGTCTTGAAATCCTTTCTTAAAAAATCTTTCTCGTAATAAAATATTATTTCCTGAAAATAACGTATATCCAAACACGTTTCTTTGTTCATAATTTTAATTTTTTAAAAAAAAAAAAGTTGATGACATCTGTCTTAACTTGGATATATTCATATGAACCAAGAAATGTTGAAACAAAATAATTAGGGACCCAAAATTTAAGCACAACAAAAATTAACTAATGGGGTATTACTAAACAAGGGGTCCATGTCCCCCTCTATTAACAAAAAGCCAAATGAAAAAAGGAAACAAAAATGGCCAGCTTTCTTGGGTCATTTGAAAAAACTTCATCCAATCAAAAGCAAATATAGCATTTTCGTTACAGGTTCATCTGAACTCATAATTTTCAATTTAAAATATAAATATATACGTAAAAACTTACTAAAATCTCAACAAATATTAGACCTAAACCAATAATTTAACATTGTAATGTTAAAAGTTGAATTCGATAAATTTAAATTCTGAATCCGTCTATCTAATCGGCTTATTATGCCTATCTAGAGAGTTTGTTAGAAGTCATTTCAGAAGGGGCACACATCACTTTGCTTCAACAAAAAAAACATAGCAACTGAACTACTTAGTCAAGTACCCATCTTCCTTGGTGCCTACATAAATGTCTTGTTTCTTTTAATTTCCAGATGTCGTGCAGCCATTGGTCCAAATAATAATAATATGTTAAAAAACAACCAAATTTTGACATGTCATTTGTCAATAATAACTGTATTTTTGTAAGAGCCTGATCAATTAACGTGTGATAATCTACTTGTATGATTGTCACATTAAGTAACTCGACAAAATAGGAAGTGTATAACTATGTGACATCTCTCTAATAATAACGGATTGTACTCGGGAGGACGCGAATCCAAGACCTTCGGTTAAGGATGAAAAAATACTTATCGCTTCACCAAAACTCTTGTTGGTACGATGTGGCATTCTACGTCATAGTAAGTGAAAATAAACTATATATTATGATATGCTTTTGGTCAATAATAATAACTGTATTTTATTTTTATTAAAGTTTGAGTTAGTGTGCAATAATCAATAGTAGTATGTTTAATGCATGACAAAAATAACTCAACTCGACATAATAAAAAGTATATTGTGTGAAAACAAACTATTATGAAATGTTTTTGGATAATTATAAATGTACTTTTAAGAAAACTCCAATTATTTTGTAATAATCTACATGTATATTAGACGTGTTATTACTGAATGAAACCTAGATGCACAGCTCATTGCCTATTTAAGAACTTGGAATATACTTAACATTTGACACATACACAACTCTAATTCTGAAATTCGACTCTACGTTGTTCCATCGAAAGTACTTAGAAAAATAATTTGGCAGAATAAAGAATGTTTAATTAATATGTATGGCATTTGAATTTGATGTCATTCTTGCTAACAATTGATTGGACAAATTCCCAAACATAAGAATGTATATGTGTGTATGTTATTACCAACATGGCACAATTTCGTACAATTAAATGTTTGTTCAAAATTAACATCACAACTAACGCATAGAAAGCCTAGAACTCTTATCAAACAAGACATGAGACCAAATCTATTCTTGAAGACGGTTCTACTTCACTGGGAAGATACAATACTCATTAATGAGCTGTCATTAATGATGACTATCGATTTTGGAATTCCGTCCTTTTTGTCATAGTCTACACATGTTCGTCTAAAGATCGACCTTGCCATCAAAAGTTGGGTCACTCTATGAATCCTTAGTACTAAGCAGATTGGGATCGGCTATATAAATCCTAACTGCTTTACTAAAGCTCACTTCATGTTATCCATCATGAATTTACGCCAGTACTGCAACCCTCATCTTTTTTCTGAAATTAAAATCGATAATATGAGCAAGCTCACACACAAGTGGCCTTAATAGAATCCACTAGTGATTAATACGAATTTTGCGTGGTAGACCCACTAAGGAGAGTAAAATGCTACTTAATGAAAGGTTATCCATTTTCAAAGTTCGAATCTGAAACTTCTGATCGAAGATGAAGATATCCCAACCATCCCACCACACCATGATCAAAAACAATATATAAAGAAATGCTATCATTGGGGGTGTGATCAAAATCTACAATACGAATTGGCCTATAGGAATAAACATAATGAAGTGGGGGCTACAAATAGTGGCATGAAAATAATTCCATGAGAAGAATACATTTTTTAAAAAATACTGTTTAGGCCTTTTCAAGCCTTATCCTTGAAGAAGCAGTCCATGTTTCCAAAACAGATTAACAAAGAGAAGTGGGGGCTAAAGCCAGTTCATTTTCTCTACAGTTTTTCAGATAACAAATAGATGAAGAAACAATAATGCATGATATTTCAGAAACTCTAGTATGAATCTTTATATAGTTTTTACTCATACAAAGCTGTTTTAAGGGTGGTCCAGGATAACATGCCTTATTGGCACTTTTATCACAAAAGAAATGGACACAAAGTCAATAATCCAGCTGCATTCATACATTATTATAATAACACAACTCAAGCAACTTACTGGAGTTTAAGGTCCTACAATGTTCCACTCATCAATGGTATTGAAAGATATTGTGTATAGTATATTAAACATGTCAAAATTTATGAATAACTAGAGTTTTGAACAGCACCAACAAGGGTTGTGGTGGGATGAATTTGATCCGTTCACCCTTAACTAGATGTCTCGGGTTCAAGCTCTGGTATGGAAAAACATCTTGTGTTTCCCCTTTAAATGAGCCTTACGTGGCCGCAAAACCACAGGAGGCAGCATTTTAAGTATTACAATTTCAGTACTTATTGGAGCATAATGTAATACTCAATGCAGTTTTGAGTTAAAGGTTTAGTACTACAAACTATGCAGGCAGTAAGAAGGGCTTGAAATTTGAAATTGAGAACTGCAGAATATTGTCCAATAACAACGTGCCCAGTCTAATCCCGCATGTGGGGTCTGGGGAGGTAGGATGTTGCAAACCTTACGTCCCTACCCATACCTTTGTAGGGTAGAGAGGTTGTTTTGCGATAAGGCCCTCGCCTCAAAAGAAGCATAATAAAAGCAGGATAGAAAGGTAAATAACGACAGCAAAATCGTAAGATAAACAAAGAATTTGAAGTAACAGGTAGTAGTATAATTGAAGAATAAGATACTACATGAATACCTGGTAAGACTACTTAATAAGGAGAAGATGAAAAAGGAGACTAGCTCCATGAAACGCCCTCGGAGAAGTACTACAACACACAGCTACCTATTACCCTTGTACCCTAATCCTCGATTTGCAAACCTTCCTATCCAGGGTCATGTCCGCAGTAAAGTTGAAGATGTTTCATGTCCTATCTGATGACCTCCCCTTAATTCTTCTTTGACCTACCTCTACCTCTATCTCTCCCAAAACCTGCTATAACCAAACTGCAGAATACTGTCCAACATGTAAATTCACACTAACCATAGCAATAAGCTTTACCTTGTTTTTACCAGTGAACATTTGTTATAGGTTACAGTGAATCAGTTCATCATATCCAGTCACCTAACTAAGTGATGTCACATTTTGAAGGGCATCACAAGAAAAAGAGGTACTATAGCATCCTTTTCTGTCTATTTCCCCACTGCTTCAACCCCACACCCTCATGTTGCAAGAAAGGGAAACAGGGGCAAAGAGTATGTTGCTTCTTTTTCTTTTTTTCTTTTGGGATAAATAGTAGCATTCTTGTTTCTTGTGAAGCCTTTTCAGAAAAGATAAACAACCAACCCACAAAAAACTGGCTATAAACATTGAATGCAAGAACAGAACTTGATTAGCTAGTAGCAAAAACAATCATTTATCAATTCCTGTGGCCAAGATGATTCCCAATAATTATACAATTGGCTACATGACTTTCAGTGGCCAGTTAAGGAGTAAAAATTCTACTTCTCCTATTCTGCTCAAAACTAAGTGCTATCTAGCCATTGAAACAGAATAAATAGAATCTAAGCAACAATCTCAAGAAACTGACTTGGATTCACTCTGCTTTCCTAGCTTTAGATGTCGCAGGTCTTGGAGGCTTAATCACTTTACTAAGCAGGATGAGAAGAATTGGTATAATTGTTCCAATATAGTATACACTTCCGTAAGCAGTAAGAGTTTCATGCAGACTTAATACCTATAACACATGAAAGAAAACTATGATCAGCGTCTGTCGAAGACAATTGGCTTTAGAGTAAATTATCATTCCAACAAATATGTGACTAACCATGAACCCAACAGCGGAGTAGTTTAGAATCAGCAGTGTGTAGGCAAAATTCATTGCTACCAGTATCTTCTCAAACATAGTACCTTTTGTAGCTTGCTGCCATCTGTAAATGACTGCTCATACACAAAACAAGATTAGGAAAAGAAAATCAAAGTTAAATGTGTCTGATCGAGTGGGTATGCCAGCTAAATACCTCTTGATCCAGCAATCATCAAAGCAGACTGAACAAAGAATATGATGTACCCAGGATATAATCCCTGTAATGTAACAGAGAGAAATACACCATTAGTTAGCCAGCCAGACAAACTAATGGACGATAAGCAGAGGGTGCAATGAAAAGGAAAAAAAAGCATCAGATGAGCATAGATTAATTTACCCAAATTACCATAATTAAATTTGTAGATAAACATGAGAATTCAAAATGTCAATCAATTAGCATGGTATATAAGAAAAAGCATTCTGAGGTAGCAGGTACTGATGGACTAAAAGAGGTGCGTAATTTGGCCAAGACACCACCACTATCAAAGATTTAAAAAAAGACAAGGATTCCACAGCTAACTTTCTGAAATTACTGAGTTTGGGAACTGAGAAACTAGTTCTGAGAAGCATAAAAGTAGGTTTGTTCTTTATTCTTAAACTGGACAACCAGCATGTTTGCTTACTATTGTGGAGTTTAAGAAGCTAAAGAAGTGTCATTGCTTAGAAAGACAAGGAAGGATGTGCATAATCTGGTCAAGATCAATAGGGTTTATGAAGATTAAATGAATGGAAGCAAAGAAAAAAATGCAAAGACATACATCTTATCTCGTAAATATAAAAAATGTCCTTTTCAAAAGGCAAATAACTATTTCCGGACACCAAAAAAGGGCAGATAAATACTTAATTAGAGGAAAGTGCTAGACTGTCCACTTACATGCCAAACGGCACTGACAGTTTGAGTAGCCAGCAACTGGAAGAAACCAGGCTTCCTTCCCTTCTGTACGAGCCTTTCATACACATCTGCGGAGCAAAAATGTAAATCCAATAAAATCTAATTGTATTCACATTGACGTGAATAGTGAACCAAACTAGTTGTAAATGTTGATGCTTAATAACCTATTATACTACCAACAGTTCAGAACTAATATCTCGAGATTAACTACTAAAATCCTATGTTTTCCTTGTAGAGCGAATAATTTGTCCCCAAAATAATGCTTCATCATTGAAATGAAATGCACACAAAAAAAAAAAACTCCCTTCTAGGTAATGTAAAGTTTGCTCATATTAGAAATAACAATGTCTACCACTTAAGTGAATTGAATGTAACTAAAGAGCATCTCACTCACGAGTATTTACATTCTTACCATTAGCCAAAATGGTTCTACTAGTCTAATAGCTTTACAAGACTGAAGCTTGAGATCAACTTGTAAACATATAGAAGAGAGAGTCACTTACAATGCCTCAGCCATGTGCTGACTTGAATGTTCCATACAAGTGGTAACTGAACCGAGCTCATTGCTAACTCAACACCCAATACATCAACATTTTTGGCACGGTCCCAACGTGGTTTTGGCGGAGAAGAATTTGTCCAACCACTGAAACCCAGTCCAGATATGATTATAGCAGCTTCAGAGATTGACCAGATAAAATAATATTTCCACCGGGCAGTAAAGCCAGCCATATATTGGTAACCCAACCGTTTGAAGAAACCCCATTCGTGGTATACTGGATCAGTGAACCAGGAAAGTGGGAAATGAGGCACCAGATAGAGATACAACCCCATACATATAGCAGCTTGAAAAAGAGCCCTTAAAGTTGATCCAAAAGGTGAGGGTTTTCCTTTCTCTGAAGGTTTCCATATCTGAAAGGAGGAAGAAATTGATTTTATTTATTGTATGGAACTATTTTTGATGAAGTAGTTGCAATTGAATTCAAAGTGAATAAAACAATACAATGATAATATTAGCTTACTCCTTTTCTTTCTGTCCATTCAAGGTAATCCTTCATTTCATACACTGGACCTGCAAAATGACTTCCACAACAGAGACAGAAACCAACATACTCAAGTAATGATGGCAACTCGAGCAAACGATTTTTCTTCTGAGACTCACGCAAATCCTCCTCCTTCAACAATCCGTCTTGGTAATTAATCACAGATGAAATTATTTTCAGCGTTATCACCATTAAGGCTCCTGCAAATTTGGAGGGAAAAATTAACATTAATTTTGGATTAGCTAGAAATCTAGAAACACGAGAAGTAAACTTTGTAATTGTGAGTAGTCTACCAATAACAATAGAATGTGAATAATATGACCATTCTGAAATAAAATCAAATAACAAAATGGCCATTCCTCCTAGGATCTAATATTTTCATCCATCTGCAAAAAATCAGCTAACTTCACTCTGAATTTGTGTCTATCATATTGCCACTAAATGACGGTAATCAATTGTACTGAACTATAGATCAGTAGATCTTAGTGATGGGAACCAACAAAATTCCTGAACTCACCAAAGAAGAAGATTCAAGGTAAATTACTTAAACCTCCCCTCTAGTTTAGCAAAACTAAGTGAACCTCCTCTATTTAAAAATTAAAATAATCTGTGACCTCCACTCCAGCTTAATCACATCATTAGATAACCTCCTACACCATCATCCTCCAAAACTTTTGAGGGAAAACTACCATAGATTTATTTCCACATTTACCTGCTAAGTTATCCATTTCCTAAACACAATAGCTCAAGAATGAAAACGAAAGAAAAGAGAGAGAGAAAAGTTAGTTCCCACTTCCCACGTAGAGAGACCTAAACTGAAGTTATCTCCAACCTACAAATGGATATATCAAACCCATGAGAAGGTCTAGATAAGCCTGACATTGTTAATTAATGATAAATAGCGCCTATTTTTGTCCAGTTATGGCTGCAGCAGTTCCACCTCAATCAATGTATGGTTGAACCTACTTTCTTCTCTGTGAATTGTTTAGTTTTTAAGGACATATAATTCTATTTCCAATTAGTTTCCTTCTCATTGATCAAGAACATTTTCATCAACGTTGTACATTTTGAGATCGTCCAAATCAAACATTTGATATGAGAGGTATTGAGATGTTTCACAGAAGGTAGACTTTATTTCTAAAAACTGGAGGGCAGGTGTAGTGCTTGACCCATAAATCTGGGTAGGTTCTCTTAATAAGTAAACTTCCTGTTGATTCAGAGTGCATTTGTTGGTTTGAAACAAAATATAGGGATTGAACACATCAATAAAATAGGGGCATGATTCTTATACATTATTACATTCAATAGGAAAAGAGGCAAGGCCAAAGATCAAGCCAGTGTTCACCTGTAGCATCGATTCCTCCCTCCTTCCATGCATCCCCACTCATGTAGTATACATGGCTGCAAGTTGTACCAAAAAACTGTCAAATATCTTATGGAAATTGAGAGGTTTCTATCACATAGTTATTTGGGTTTAGGGCGGGGAGGGGAGGAGGGGGAATCAAGTAGTCAGATTTTAAGAGTCTTCCAAAACTGGACTCACGAAACAATAAAGGAACCATAAAAAGCATCTAAGCCAATGGAGCCACCTATCACAAAGTGTACTTTTTATCAGTAGCTTTGCATATTAGCAGACCTGCATTTTCTATGAGAAAGCCTCCTTGAAAATTGTATGGTATGAATCAATTTACAAAGAGATGTCCCTCACATTTACATGAACGTGCAATAAAATCCCAATGTCAAGAATATACAAATCCTAGATGAGTACTAAAACAACTAGGTAAAATATAATAGGGTACAAAACCTGAAACCTTAACTCAAACATCGAACTTTTGACACATGAATCCAAAAGTTTCACACTTCTCAAATTTTAAATTCTATTGTTTTAAGTTTACCAGCCAACAAAACCAACCCCAACAAAGAACACACATATTAGGAACTAGGATCTTCTTTTCCTATTAATAATAATGGTCTTGTGTGCATGTAGACTAATTTGTTGGCCATCCTATCACCAGAGGCGAATCTAGGATTTTTCGAACATGGGTGCATCAAGTAAAACGTATTGAAGTGAGAATTGATCCGTAATCCTTAAGGTCAAAAGCTCAACATTTAACCATGTGGACCATTTAGACTTCTTGTAGTACGGGTGCAAGAATATAATATTATACAAAATCTTAAAAAATATACATATAAAATATCTAATTTTACGAAGAGACCACGGGTGCGGGTGCCCTTTTTTTTGGCTCTAAATTCGCCACTGCCTATCACCAAAGGTAGATCCAGAATTTTAATTCCATGGGTTCATGAACCACATCCAACAACTGAACATTCACCTTATTTAAGTTATGGATTCATAATTCAATATTTTTAACAATTTCAATGGGTATTATACAAATAAATTCAGGTCTAAACAAAAAGTTATGGCACCAAAAGGGCTAGATCCGCCCCTGCCTATAACAACTCATTAACACAATTGCTGGGTAAGCCTGTCGACTGCCTCCAATGTCTCCACCTAGTTTAGAAAAGATGGACTCACACTACAGAATCGTTCGGTTGGAGGGATTAAACAAACTATCCCAGTACACGATCTGTAATATTTATCCTGTATTCGGTTGGCATTAACTAGTAGTAGACTTATACCTTAATCTAAGTACTATACTGAACAAAAATGGGATACTTGATACCTTAACCTAAGTACTATGCTGAACAAAAACGGGATACTTGATACCTTAATCTTTGTTTAACAATCCATAAATCAGCATAACTAGTAAATAGTAACTTCTTCTTGTAAATAATTGAGGTGTCTGAGTCGGCTTGCACACAACTCAACCAATCTCACAGGATACCTACTATCTCCCTCCAACATAGGTACCGGATAAGTCTATCCATCAAGCTTGACCTCACAATGTTTAGTCCACTTCATTGACCACTAAGCCACACCTCTAGGTTCAACCAATAAGTAGTAGCTTCTTCTTTTTGTGGATAATCGTGGTGTCTCAGTCAGTTTGAACACAACTCGACTAATCTCACATGATACGTGCTACCTCCCACCAACACAGGTAGCGGGTAACTCTATCCAGCATACTTGACCTCACAGTATTCAAGTCCACTTCATTGACCACTAGGTGCAACGAGAAAAAAAACAATCTTGCATAACTATTATGTGAACCAAACAACCCCAATATAGTGGGAAGGCCAGCTGAGATCTACTGATTTTCTTACATTGTTATTTTAGGAGCTTAAATTTTTTTTAAAAAAGGAGCTTTATGAATTCCTATAAATCAGGGATCTCCAAATCAAAGAAATTCAAAGAGAGAACATAATGTACCATCCAATAAGATAACCAAAAGCAGCTATATAAGTGATGATCCCGCAGTAACGGCGACAGAGGACCATAGAAGCATAACCCAGAAGCATAGGCCCAAAGAAGTGAAGATTTGACGAGAACCCAAACGACAAGTACGACAGAACAGCGCCGGTGACGGCGGCGTATAGGTGTCTACCGGTGGCGCTAGGTACAAAACGGTGTAGGAAGCTCACCGGAATTGTAGCGATGAAACAGAGCAAGAAACGGAGCACCGGCACCGATACTCCGATCGCCGGAGCCATTGATTCTAACTCCGGCAAGCCCATATTGGATCAAAATCCGAGTTAGGTATAATCCGAATCCGGTTGGTTGAACAAATTACACCTGTACAAGTTTTTCTGAACCTAGATTTCAGGGCCAGGGCCTGGAAACAAACTTATAAGAGACAAGTGACAACGAAACAAAATACAAATAAATATTCCCTCCGAGTTTCCGAGATTCAATTTGACTAATTTTTAAGAAGATGGACTAATCTTTTGAAAGTAAATTGTATTAGATTAATTTATGAGATATTTCTCTAGTTTTGAAACTAATTATTTAGACACATCTTAATTTGAAATATGACAAATCTTATTAGATTTTGGTGTAGTCAAATAAGTCTATATACATATATCTTGAAATATATGTGATTAAAATAAGTTGTAATTTGTTTTAGATATGCTCGCCTCTTTCCCCATTTCACTCGTCTCTGTCACTACATCAATATATGGTAAGAAACTCTTAATTAGTGAAAACTACGTAATAATTTGAAAGTTTAGATAAAATTAGTAAATATGGTATGGATGTATTTATGTCTAATAAGATAGTTTTTCTTAATTTATTTATTTATTTTAAATTAAATAGCTACCTAAAATTAGTTGTAGTCAAATTCAAAGTTTTAAAATATCATTAATATAATCAGTTAAGTAAACAAACTTCTAATTAAAGCTTTCTTAATGCGTGTGTCACATCAACATAAGTCAAGTAATAAGAGATGAAAGGAGCATTAGATTAATTCAATATTCTTAAATTAAAATTAAATATTTAAAAAATATTATAAATTGTAACTCTTTTTTATAATATTTATGATATCAAGCAAAATATACTTAAATTATCGATCAACATTTATGCAGTTTAACTTTTGAAAAGCAAAACGTGATAAGTAAAAGCAAACAAATATAAGAAACGAGAAATTAAATCTCATACCGCAAGGTTACATGGAAGAGGATTTATTTGTACATGAACTAGTCCTACTTTGCGGAGCATTCTTTGAGTATTTTCAAGATTCAAATCCAAAATTTACTCAATGTGCAACTAAATAGAAATGGAAAAAGCATGATATTGTGTTTTTCAATGGTTAAATTGTATGAATTTTTAATTAATATTTTAAAATATATTCTTTCATTATATTAAACTTAAAAACATGACAACTAGCAATAATTTGTATATAATTTTTGAATATTTAATTTGTGATTTATGTTGTGATGGAGAACCCAAGGTACCTAGGTATCATCGACTGGAAATTAATAGTGCATTTAATTGTCTTTCCTATCCACTACCAAACTTCTAGGTGGGTAGCAAGAGCTCGTTTGATTTGAAAGATTGTTATTTTCCTTAATTTTAATATGGGATGACAATGAGATTATAATTTTGATATAAGTAATTTTGTAATTTTATTCAATCAAACATGAAATAAATTTATTTTAAAATTAATTTTGAGATCAGTTATTTTTTTTATCTCTCGTATCAAACGAGTCCTAAAAAAATGACATGAAATCTAAGCGGCTCAACTTTGATGCTCCCTCTCATTCATCTTATTTGTTATTCTTGCTTAAAATATATGATTCAAAATAACTGTTATTTTAGAAATTCAAAATATAATTAAATATTTTTTAAATCATTTTTATGCTTGCTCAATAAATGTGAAGAGAAATTAATATAATGGAAGAAGTATTATTGTATTATATTAAGATAAAAATTTAATTAGAATAAATTTATTCTTTTAATTAATTTTAAGGAATAAAACTATCAAACATAATATTACCTATACAAAATCTAATACCTATAACTAACCTCTTAATCAGCTACCATATGCCCATATGACCCTAAAAGGCATAACCAACAGTTTATCTTAATTTTCACACACAAGTTTTTATTTTTTTACAAATGAAATGCTTATTCAAGACACAATCTCTAATTTCAATTATCATTCATTTCAACTTCAAAAGGCTTTTTTTTTTCTTCACATTTCAACTGAATTTATGTTGGAACACCTAATAAAAATGTGGCCCATATTATACTGTTCTAGGCCTATGTAACCTATACTTTCTCCATTGAATCATTCTTTCATCTTTAGGCCCATTTTATATAATAAGTTTAATGTTCCATCTACAACTTAGCCCAGCTACACATCTGCTATAATAATACTCAGGTTTACTAATTATTGAGCAGAAAAGAAAAGTAATTTTCAGTGAAATCAAAACTAAAAAGGATTTTCACTCCTATTTAAATCAATTACGCCTCCCGTCTCAATATAATATATGTGACGCCCTTTTCTAAGCTCGAGTGTGTTAAAGGTGGAGGGTGTTGGAAAAGGCAAGCACAAAATAAATGTGCACGACAGGACAACAACGAAAGAAAACTCAAGTCAAAACGTTCCCTTCTATTTGAACCAAGAGAAAACAAAATAATGCAAGAACAAAACTGCTTGGGCAACAAACAAATCAACCAAGTAAGAAAAATAAATCAACACACGAGACACCAAATTTAACGTGGAAAACCTCTTCGGTGTGAAGAGTAAAAACCACAAGGCCAAAGCTCTACTAAAATCAACAAGAGTTACAAAAGTGTTATCCAAAATGGTCACCAACAAGGTACCAAATACTGAGCAACACAACTACAAGATAGCACCAAAAATTAGGCAGCTACTGTTCACGAGCAAAAATCTGGAGCTACAGGACTCCAAATCACCCTCTCTCAGTTCCCAATCAAAGATCAAGTTGAAAGGAACAAGCTGTCCAAAAATCAACTCAATCGAATAAGAAATGAAGCGGAAAATCGCAATTTGAAATTAACTGCTAGGGCTTGTGCGAAAATTTGCACTCTCTCACTTCTCTTTATATGGCTGCTCTCAATCTCTTGTGATATCTCTTAAATAAGACCTAAAAAAAAGTCTTACATATACACTATAATAATGGGTTTATGGACAAAGTGGACTTGTCAAATTAAACTTTTATTTATGCACTTAGGAAGGGAAAAAATGCTCAAAACCCAACAGAGGATGCTTACCATACGAGACAGAAGGAAATGATATTCTAATCAAGGTCATTAAAGCTAGTAGAAGCTCTCTGTAGAAACTATGTGTGTGTGGAGTGTCGAGAATGTACACAAACCTTACCAACTACCTCCTCATGAAAAAAGATTGTTTCTAACAAAAACCTCGGCTCAAGTAACACATAATATAATTGAAAGTGCAAAAAGAAATGTATTTTTAATGTAATAGATGCTAATAACTCAGCACAATGAATGGATAAACAGCCCCATAGTATACATTTACACAAATTGCCTCAGTCTAATATATGATTATCTCTTAATACTAACCACTCGGAAAAACTATGGATAGCACTAGAACTACAACTACTCTTGGGGCTCGTTTGGTTAGGAACAAGTTATTCCACGATTATTATCCCGCAATTTTATCCTAACCAAATATGGAATAAACTCATCCTAAAATTAATCTCGGGATTAGTTATCCCTGACCCCTCCTACCAAACGAGCCCTCAGAAACAGGTAATCAGCAAATCAAAAACTCTGCTTCAACCTCTCTGTAAACTCTACTGGACATATCAGTACAGAATCTACACATAGTCCACCTTTAGTATGTGTACAATCGATCTGTGTCAACGAATATTTAACTTTCATGGGTTCTACTGAACCCGTGGCAACAAAGTCACCTACATGGTGGTACTTCCATATTCCAGGTTCGTTCAAGTAACATTGGGTTGTAGCTTGTTGACCGTCTGATGTCGAGAGCTGAAACCGCACTGGTTTCTTATCCCACCCGTGAACATGCTCGGAGTTGCAGACTCGGCGTCCAAATCTCCGAGAGGCACGTCCTACTTGTAGTCTGAAGAATATGCTATAGGACCCAACGGGGAATGGGAAATCGACCTCTCCATCAACTTCAAACCACCAGATCTGTTGGAGATATGCAACGGACTTGAATCTGCATGGACGGAAAGGAGAAGAGATTATTATGTGTTCTGTCTGAGGACGTACTAGCTTGATGTCGATACATGAATATAGCAATAAAACCAAAAGCTCAATTGGTACTACAAGTATATTAGTGTCTAGCCACCACTAGAAAAAAGAAAATGTGTACTACTGTTAAAGGGAGTTCCTGATCGAAATTGCTTCGTAAATCATGTGGACCAACAATTAGTTGTGGGTAATACTTGAACATTTTGCAAAAGTCCGAGCAACATAACTCGGGAACCATCAAATAACAAGCTAACAAGCAATGTCAAACCATGGTGGGTTTGTTGAACCATGTAATCTATCCAAACATTGCATAAACAACAATATAACCGATGCAATGGGAATCAACAATACAATCAAAAGATCGGATTACAAGGATAATATTACTGCAAAAAAAAATGAATTTTGGTCATTTGCATGTAAAACACCAATTAATCATAGACATTGCAATGTCAAATTAAAAACTACATTAAGCAACTCCGCTTCATATACTTGAAACCTAAGTTGTTCAAACTCTTTGAAAATCCAGACGAGCGTGTGTCAGATCCTCCGAAAGTAATAGTATACTTTTTGAAGGAACAACAACAATCTTGAAGAGTACGAGCAACATAGATTGAAGCCGTATTCTTAAAAAACAATTCACAATCTAGACAAGTTGACTCGCGTTGGAAGGGGATTTCTATTGAAGAAAATGCCCCAAATGGACGAACATTCGGAGTTCATCAGCCAATCTAATAACACATACATCAATAACCACACAAATACAAAAACAACCAATTTACTCTAAACAAACATCAGAAGCAAGTAAATCTCGAACCCTCACCTAGATTCATCAGTTTCAATCCGACTCCAATATCTCCTATCATCGATGCCCGTTATTGCCAAGCCACTTGAAGATATAGACATACAAACTCTTCCAGTTCTCTTATCTAACCAAACTTTCTGCACATATCCCACAAAACAAATAAAACCATCAAACTCAATTTCCACCTTCAAACAAAAAATGAGCCTTTAGATTACAATTCAAATTTAATATACTACCACTTTAACAACAACTCCTCAACACCAAACTAGTACAAATTTACTAGTAAACAGTATATGAATATTTTTTTTCAGGAAAAAAAATTAGGTATCTTCACACAAATAGCTGACAAATTTACTGTTCACTTTTTCTAGCCGGTATACAATATTATACCTGGATTATACATATAATATACCTCCGTTACACAAATTAAGAGCCTTCATGAAAATTTCAATAAATTGGGTACCCAAATAATATCTATAAAGGAAGATTTAAGCATAAGAGGGGTAAAAATTGTACCTTTGAGCCACCATCAAAAGAATTAGGTCGACAAAGCATAGCATAAATATCTCTTTTACACAAATTAGCCGGAAAATTTCGACCAGCAAAGACCCTTTGAATAATAGAGCTGTAATTCATCGGCAACTTGGATTCCCACACAAAATCAGCAGAAGAAGCGCCTCTAAAAGCCCTATTAAGCATAGACAATTTACAGATCTGAGGCGGGTCCATGTATACAAGAACTGAAGCTACACAACTTTCCGGCAAATCACCAAGACTTGAATGATTTTGCTTAGTAACAGTAGACGAAAACTGAGGAATCAACACAGAAAACGAAGAACCCATGATGGGTTTTCAGTAAAAATTAGAAAAAAATCTCAAATACTGAAAGATGAAAATTAAAATTTGTGATATGGGTATTTATTATAAAGAGAAGAACACAAAGACAAAAAAATACAGCTGGAGACTGGATATATATATAAAACTGGACGGTGACAGGGGTAGGGGTGGGTTGGGCGTGGGGTAGGGGTGTATAGATTAGGGGAGTATCTAGTCGTAGTTAGATTAGATTTTTTGAATAAAAAAAAAAGATGGGAAACTTAACACCTTGTATTAGTGCATAATAATAGTTGGATTAGATTGAATAAGTTGATAATTTGAAATATGGAATGGATAATTTTATTAATTGATACAAAGGATGAATGGATTAATCATGATAAAATTTGACTAAATATTGGCATAAGATAAGGAGTATGAATTACCAATGGTATTTGTTATTTTATTTGTCTAGATTTATGTGATATTTTTTAGAGTTAGATTTAGAAATTCAAGCAAATAAATTATCTGGTTAAGATTTTTGAATTATTCTTAGGAAATCAAATTTGTGGTTGTAATTTTTAGCTGTTTTAAATTTTTAGAACAAACTTTATTTATTGGCAAAAATAGTTGACCATAAAAAAAATTTATGACAATAATTTTTTATAGAGATTTTTTTAGTGAGTAAATAACTATATTTAGAACAAATAATCTTCTACTTTGTTTAAAGTTGTTTTTTTTTTCTTGTGAGAAACCAAAATAGGAAGGAATAAAATCGAAATAGAATTTAAAAAAATGAATCATTTTTATCTTTTTTTTTGTTATACCACCCTGCGTAACCTTAATTATCCCCTTCTTTATTATAGGTGATTTGAGGACAAAGCTAATTGTCTTTATTTTGTTGAACTCGGGTTTTTATCATCTATTTATCTATATGTCTATATTATATTAGAAACATATTTTTTTTAGAGGTGTTTATTGAATTTTTTGTTTTTCATTAAAAGATTGTGCAATAAATAAAATCATTTTCTTTATTATTATTTCATTAAATTTATAATATTGATTATAATATTAAAAACAATAATTTATTTACGTGAAGCAATATTGGAAAAATTGTGTACATGAAGATTTTTTCTAATAAATATATGAAAAGATTGTGTACATGAAGGGCGGGATGAGATCCTAATATAAAAAAATTAAGAATACTCCTAAATATATGGATAATAACTCCTAAGCATATATGGAAAGTTTTGCTTTGTGTATGTGAGTCTTAAATATATGGCAACACAATCATAAGAAAATAAAGAATATAAATTAGAAAAGAAAAAAAATATCTAATATCTTTGATAATCCATGCAACACATATACTAAACTAATAACAAATAAAAGACGTAGAATTTTTGACGATATAATTATATATGGCAATTAATTCTATTTTATAATTTAAAAAATGTGAAGTATGTTAGGAGTACTAGAAGAAATATTCTCTATATAGTTGTGGCTACAATTAAAGTACAAAATTAGTGGTTAATAAATCATTAAGCATCTCTATATAGTTGAGGCTACAATTAATGTACAAAATTAGTGGTTAATAAACCATTAAGCAAATGCTTTTTGCTAATGATATAATAATTGATCGTATTAGTACACTTTCCATCACATATACTGTGTATTACACGTCTATAAATTGCATTATCGAGTTCATTGCTTATTTTTTTCTTATTTATAAAAAAATCTTAGGTTTGGTCGGTCACTAATATGCCATTTTTATAAAGATGTTTGTTGATATACATATGTATTAATTCTAGAATATAATATTAACCAACAATATTAAAGACATAGCACAATCATTAATTTGCATTATCCCTTTTGTACCGATCTAGCCTTTTAAAATATTCCAATATATGAGTTGTTTTTGTCTTTCTTTTCTTTTATTTGCACTTTCGGCCCGGTAGGCATAATTTGGATAATATTATCCAGGATCGGATCGGATAGAATAGAATGATAAGTACTTATTCATTTTTTGTTAGAGATTTTCGACTTTAGTTTTTTAATGTTACCCCCCTCCCCCCCCC